TTGACTTAAGTGGATGGGTGCTTTTGACATTATAACTATCATAAGATCAGCGACACTTCACGAGTTAGAATGTTGGTCAACTAAAAAATAATACATTAGTTTAATGAGTGTAACTATTGAGATGAGGATGCTGAGTTAGATGTGTGGTTAAGACTAGAAGTGAACACATTTGCAAAGTGGTAGCAATAATACCTGTTGAAAGTAAGTTTAGAGAGCAAAATGATTTTTTTAGGTACAACAAAGACCTTGATATGATCGTTACCCTAATTGATTGGGATTCAAGGCTTTGGTTGGCTTCTTGATGCTTAACCAGGTTGTTTTCTTTTGCTGCTTAGGCTATATGAATGTCATGTACTCTCAGTTCATTGTAACTGCATTTGGTACTAATTTTATGTTGGCTTTATCATCAGATTCCTCATTTGAGACCTGCTGAGTACAAGAGATCCAGACTATCTAGGAACAGGAGGACTGTGAACCGTGCCTATGGTGGCGTACTATCTGGAGGTGCTGTCAGAGAGAGGTTTGTTCTTGTCAAATCTTCACTACTTGAGCTTCAATCATTTGAAAAACATTCAAAACATACATAAATACCAGACGGTGCCTCTTTCTGTAGTGCTGGTGGAGATGGCCATGTTATTTTGCTCACACCATTTAAATGAAAGGGTTGTGACTTCTATTGGTTTTGTAGGATAATCCGAGCCTTTTTGGTGGAAGAGCAAAAGATTGTGAAGAAGGTTTTGAAGATTCAGAAGGCAAAAGAAAAGCAGGCATCAAAGAGCTAAGATGATGACACATTTATAAAAATACTTCAGTTTTTAATGTGCTCGAAAGAAATTTTGACTTAAACAGATATGATTATAAGTTGTGCACTGTATTAATTTGAATGAGCATTTTTCATAATTGGTATTTGATTTCTCATTTCAACACATTGGGATTGGGGGTTTTGCTTATATTGGCAATAATACTCCAATGTCAGTTGGGTGTTACTATTTCAATGCTCATTTTTAGCTATCATATGATTTTCCGGTTGATATGGAATTCTTTTGATATTGAGCAGATATGGTCAACCCCTTATTTTTCACGGCCACATAATGTTTTCATGGGTGGTTTGATAGTTTCATTTCATGGGATCAGTTGAACTTTGAAAGCAAGAGATGCTTCTGTCTTCTCAATGATTGGGTTCGTGTTGAGATTGTTAAGTTATTATTCACTTAGACTTGGGGTATATGGAGAAGCATAGAAACAAAGGAAAGTGTTCTAGGCGCAAGGCTATGTCTGTAACAAACATGTGTCCTTCCTCTCCATATCTTCTAAAGCAACAATGGAGGATGATAGAAAAGGGTAGTAAGAATGGTGAATGCAAAGAAACCAGAGTTGAAAGGGAAAAAAATTAATCCCAAAGGACACGCCTTGTGAATGGCATTTGAAGGGTGATGGTGTTTTCAATATGTGCACCAATATGTTTGGAAGTCTAGAATTCTACAATCAAGACTTAGGCCTTGTTTGTCAATCATAAATTTCAATCAAAAAGTTAAAAAATTATTGTAAGTTGTTATATTATTTTTTTTTATTTTCAAGCGAGACTTTAACAGTGGATGTTCGTTGAGCGTGACAGGTGAAAAATGGAAGATCATAATCCCCAATCACGACAAGAAAACAAGTAGTTTGCTTATGAATAAGGTTTTGAAAAGCGGTTGCGGTCACTGTAACGGTGACGATGGCGCAGTTGCGGTTGCGGATGGCGCAGTTGAGGTTGCGGAATGTAAAGGTGCGCAGTTGAGGTTGCGGAATGTAAAGGTCGTAGTGTAACGATTGTGGTAACTGGAACCGTGTTTTTTTTTTTTTTTTCGTACAATTTGAAAAAAACTTACCGATATGTATATTTTTTTCCTATAATCATATTTATTGGGTTTAAAATAAATATTGATCAATTTTTGTAAATTTTTAAGTATGATTCAATATATTTTATATTTTTAAATCACTATAAATTGAGTTTTTTATATTCTATTTTAATAATTAATGACTGTATATTATACAAAAAATCAATCACTAAATTATATATAAGATAAACAATGACAAAAGTAAAAGAAAATGACCACACTTATTATTATTATTATTATTATTATTATTATTATTATTATTATTATTATTAAACAATATATAGATAGACACACCTAAACAAAATGGTTGAATGATAGCAGCTGAATACAATAGCATATGTCTTATAGTTTTAACAAATCAATAACATGTTCTTCATTTTTCCTCTTTTCTCTCTCTCTCTCTCTCTCTCTCTATTTCTTGCTCCTCCATCTTCTCGCTTTATCTTCTCTCTCTTTCTCTTCCCCCATTTTCAACTTTTTTTTTTGTGTTTTTTTCGAAAGAAGTATAACAAGCCGTTACGGTTGTTACGGCACCGTTATGACCACTACGGCTGACATGCATGTGAATTTCAATTACACTGCAGAAGCGACCGTAACGGGTGGCGATAATTACAACAACCATTACGTAATAGCGTTACGTAACAATTGCGGCTGCTTTTTAAAACCTTGCTGATGAAGTTAGTTATTTAAAGTCGAGTTAAGAGAGGATTGGGGCAATGTTTTCTATTCCTCAAAAGAAATTGATGCAAAAGCAACCACGTTAACTTGTATTTGTTTTTAGGGTGATGATTGAGACCCCCTCCAATCACCACCCCCCACAGACACGTGGCGGGTGGTGATTGGGGGAGAAAGAATAAAAAAAAAAAGAAAGAAAAAGTAGCCAATCAAGTGAAGAGGGGGTCAAGGGAGTGGGGGAAAAAGGGGGTCCAAGTCATTATTCTTGTTTTTAAAATGTGGCAACAATTTCCAAAGATGTGATTCTCTCCCACCATATTCAGTGCTCTTTTGGGAAGTTAGTAAAAAGTTAACTTCTAACTTTTTATTAATTTTGGGTCACATCACCTCTCACATAATTTACTTATAAAAAGATAAAATAAATTAAAAAAATCAAAAAATTAACTTTTTACCAACTTCTCAAAATACTCCTCAATCCCCTACTACAGCTACTGCCATCTACTACCTCAAGCCCCCAGCCACAATAAGCCCCATCTATGATCACATTTAAGAAATTTGTGTCAAATATGTTTTTTTCTTTTTTTGGAGCAAAATATTGATAAGCCGTAAAAATAATCATAAAGAAATAAGAACATTTGTTTAATTGTGAAGAAATTAATTGTAAATTGTCGAATTCATGTTTTATGTGACAATCAAACGATACTCTTTAATCACATGCTTTTAAAATAATTTTTTTATTTATTTTAGAAACAGGTAAAACAATTTTTTATACACTTTTTTCTATATATGTAAAAAAAAAAAAAAGAGTAAAAAAAAACCAAAAATTTCATTATAAAGAAAAAGAAATATACATTTTTTTTAATATAAATTTAAGGGTAAATTATACAGACACCCCTGAGGTTTATGTTTACAATTTTCTCCTCACCTTTTGAAAATTACATCTCCTCCTTGAGGTTTAAAGTTTTATTACAGATTCCTCCCTCAACAATTTAATTTTTTTAAATACCAATTTTGCCCTCACTAGGTAAATTATATTGACACCCTTCACGTTTTAAAATTACAATCTCCTCCTTAAGGTTTAAAGTAGCATTACCAATTGCCCCATTCATTAGTATTAGTTGGAAAAAAAATTCATTGAAAAAAAAATTAATTGGAAAAAAAATTATTTGAAAAAAAAAATAAATTGAAAAAAAAATTTGCTAGTAAAATTTTTAAATTTCTCTTTAAAAACCAACATAAACTCATTTTTTGAATTTATGTTTTTTCCTTAAATTTACAAACTAAGACAACCATTTATAAACCAAAAAAAATATCAAACAAGTTTTTATGACAGTTTTTAAATTTTTGTAAATATAAATTAAAAAGTGAAAACGAAATGGTTACCAAATAGGTTTCAGATGGTAAAAATGTCGTAAAATTAACAAATAATTAAATAAGTTACCAACGTAGGAAATAACTTATTAAAAGATTCTTAGGCTATGAATGGTTTGATTTTTAGAATTTTTTTTAAAAATTAAAAATTAATTTGGTTAAGAAATAAAAAATAAAAAATAAAAAATAATTATCATTTTTATATAATTTTTATCTTTTGAGTGGTTGGAAATAATTTTTTACAAATTAAATTGAAACAGCCATATGTATGTATATAACATGCCTAAAAGTTAAAATGATAATTATTTTTTACCCTTAAATGATAATTATTTTTTATTTTTTAACCAAATTAATTTTTAATTTTTAGAAAAAATTTCTAAAAATCAAACCATACCTAGCCTAAGAATCTTTTGATAAGTTATTTCTTACATTGGTAACTTATGTAATTATTTGTTAATTTTACGACATTTTTACCATCTGAGACCTATTTGGTAACCATTTCATTTTCAATTTTCAATTTATATTTACAAAAATTTTATAAAATGTCATAAAAACTTATTTGATAATTTTTTGGATTTTCTCAATTTGTAAATTTGAGAAAAAAAAGTAAATTCAAAAAATAAGTTTACGTTGGTTTTTAAACAAAAAATTTAAAATTTTACTAACAATTTTTTTTTTCAATTAATTTTTTTTTGAATGAATTTTTTTTCCAATTAATTCTAACTGAGGGGGTAATTGATAATACTCCTTTAAACCTTAGAGAGGGAATTGTAATTTCTAAAATGTGAGGAGTGTCAATGTAATTTACCCAATGAGGGCAAAATTGGTATTTAAAAAAATTAAATTGCTAAGGAAGAATCTGTAATGAAATTTTAAACCTCAGGGGGAAATGTAATTTTCAAAAAATAAGGAGAAGAACTGTAATAAATATAAATTTTCGGGAGAAATGTAATTTTCAAAAAATGAAAAAAAAAATTATAATAAATATAAATTTTAAGGCGTGTCAATGTAATTTACCCTAAATCTGAAGAAATAAAAATATGTCAGTGTAATTTACCCGAAGAAATAAAAATATGTCAAGAATGGGATTCGAACCCATGCCCTTTCGGACCAGTACCTGAAACTGGCGCCTTAGACCAGCTCGGCCATCTTGACAATTGACAACAAGAGCACTAATAAATATATATATATATATATGTATTAATTCAATTATACTTTTGAAATTTGAAAAAAAATACAATAATCCTGATAAATTACCCTAGAATTCTCAAACATTTTAAATAAGTAGACTTTTTAATTTTTTACGAAAAGATATGTAAAAAAATAAAAATGTGATGTGACCCAAAATTAATAAAAAGTGAACTAATATTGTACACTCCAAACAAAAGATCATTAATCGTATGAATAAAAAAAAGATTACCATTATCTCTTTTACATTAAAATACATATTTGACCTTATGTATTTTCGTATTTTCATATCATTTGTACTAATTTTGAATCTCTTTAAACTTCTTCGAATGGAAGTCCATATAATTATCGCCATGTTAGGGAAGTGTGATTTGAGCTAAAATAGTTAATAAGACAGAATATCACATCTAAATCATAATCATTTTACTTTTTATTTCACAATCATAAAATTAACTAAAAAAAAAAAAGAGAAAGAATTACATCCTAGCGAGACAATAAATTTTTTTTTTTACACAAACATGGAGAGGTGCAACCCCCACAACATTTCACTTACATCCCATCACAAAATCACTTAACACTCCATATATTTTTATATTTTTTTTGTTCCTATTTTCATTGTGCTGTAATTTTCTCCCCCAAAAAAGGCAACTATCATATAAAACATATATTTTTTTAATCAGACTAAAATAGTTAAAAAATTAAAAAATCAATTAAAATAGATTATTTTCAAAGAGAGCCTATGTCAAAGTGTAAAATTTATTACATATATTTTTTAAATGAATAAAGATTGGGACCCCCTTCCCTCACCCTCTTTTGACCCCTTTCTTTTTTGATTGGTCACTTTTTCTTTTTTTTCTCCTCCTCTAATCACCACCCACCACGTGTGTGTGGAGGTGGTGGGGGTTAAAATTTGAGGGGTCTAAATCACTGCTGTTTTTAAATTTCAAAAAGGTTAGTGTGATTTACCCTTCTTAATTTATTGCAACCAATCACAATGTTTGGTTTGAGTTTTCTGAATTAAGTTTTTTGAAAATTAAGTTTTTTTATTTTCGTGTTTTTTTGTTTTTAGTGAATATTTTAAAATTTTAAACATTTTTTTTACTTTTTTAGATGCACCTTATTTAGATGTGTCTAAAAAGTAAAAAAATTGTGAAAAATATTTTAAAAAATTAAGAAATACATAAAAATATAAAAAATGTACTAAATTCTTGTATTTTTTTTGTATTTTTGGTATTTAGTGAATTTTTAAAAGATTTTTTTTACAATTTTTTTACTTTTTAGGTGTATTTATGTTATGTGTGTCTAAAAATAAAAAATTTGTATAAAATATTAAAAAAATTCAGTAAAAACAAAAAAGTACGGAAAATAAAAGTGTAGAATTTTTTAAAAATTATTTTTAAAAAATGGGAAGCAAGCAAAGTGAATTGTTGCATGAGTATCAAACGTGGCGAAAAGTGAAAGTCCACGCGTGATATCATGGAGGCTTCCACACCGTATCCTCGCTCTTGTCGACCTTCCGGTTATTACCGTTGCTTTCACTTTCCCGCGCTATTCAAAACTACTCTCCCTAACTTTCTCTTTCCTTTTCTTCATAAAACACCCAAATGGGTTCTCTCACCAATCCAAATCGCCACACTAAATTCTCAGATTTTGGCCGCAAACTCGTATCGTCCCTCGCTGTATCTGAAAACCCATCAATCTTTCATGACATACATGACCCAAAACTCTCTCCTTCGAACCCTGTTCTTTTCTTCAATCACTGGGTCAATTCAAGAAAGTGCTCTGTCAGAGACACCAAAGTCTTACATACCCACTTCCACAAGACTAATATCTTTCATTCCGATGTGTTTGTGGCAAATTCTTTGGTCGATTGTTACTGTAAATCTGCTCACATGGTTTATGCACATAGATTGTTCGATCAAATTCCTCACCCAAATACAGTTTCTTGGAATATCATGATTTCAGGTTTCAATCAGAATTCAATGTTTGAGTATTCGTGGAGATTGTTTTGCAGGATGTGTTCGTTTGGTTTTGAACCCAATGAGTTCACTTATGGGAGTGTTATTTCGGCTTGTAATGCTTTGCAATCTCCTTTTTGTGGAAAACAAATTTACTCACTTGCGGTGAAAAATGGGTTCTTTTCTAATGGTTATGTACGGGCTGGAATGATAGATTTGTTTGCAAAATACTGTAGCTTGGAGGATGCTTTTAAGGTGTTTTACGATGTTTTGTGTGAGAATGTGGTTTGTTGGAATGCTATAATTTCTGGGGCTGTTAAGAATAAGGAGAACCAGATTGCTTTGGATCTTTTTTGCCAAATGTGTCGTGGGTTTTTAATGCCAAATAGTTTTACATTTTCTAGTATTTTAACTGCTTGTGCTACACTTGAAGAGTTTGAGCTGGGTAAACGGGTTCAAGGGTGGGTGATTAAGCGTGGTGCGGGAAGAGATGTTTTTGTGGGGACTGCTATTGTTGATTTGTATGCTAAATGTGGAGATATGCACGAGGCTGTAAAGGAATTTTTGCGGATGCCAGTCCGCAGTGTAGTTTCTTGGACTGCTATGATTTCTGGTTTTGTTCAGAAGGGTGATTCTATTTCTGCCCTCCAATTCTTCAAAGAAATGAGAAAAATGAGGCAGGAGATAAATAACTACACGGTTACTAGTGTGCTTACTGCTTGTGCTGACCCAACTATGGTTAAAGAGGCAATCCAGATCCATTGCTGGATTTTTAAAACTGGGTTTTACTCAGATTCAGCCGTAAAGGCTTCATTGATGCGTGTGTACTCAAAGATCGGAGAGATTGATTTATCTGAGATGGTGTTTAAAGGGACGGAAGATTTAAAGCACTTAAACGTATGGGCTGTTATGATATCTGCTTTTGCTCAGCATGAGAATTCTGGAAAGGCAATTGATATGTTCCATAGAATGTTTCAAGAGGGTCTCAGACCAAATAAGTTTTGTAGCTCTAGTGTCTTAAGTATTGTAAATTCTTTATATTTGGGGAGACAAATCCACTGCTACACTGTTAAAGCTGGGTTGGTCTTTGATGTTTCTGTTGGGAGTTCACTTTTCACAATGTACTCCAAGTGTGGCAGTTTGGTGGAATCTTATGAAGTTTTTCAGCAAATTGTGAAGAAAGATAATGTTTCATGGGCCTCAATGATTGCCGGTTTCGCAGAGCATGGTCATGCAGATCAATCCTTGCAGTTGTTTCAAGAGATGCTGTTTGAGGAAATTGTGCCTGATGAAACGACTTTGACAGCTGTTTTGACTGCATGTTCTGCTATTCCTTCTCTGAAAACTGGTAAGCTAGTGCATGGATATGCTCTTCGTGGAGGAGTTGGAAAGCAAATACTTGTTTGCGGTGCACTAGTGAATATGTACTCGAAATGTGGTGTTCTAGATATGGCAAGGAGGGTGTTTGACACGATGCCTATAAAGGATCAAGTCTCGTGCTCTTCCTTGGTTTCTGGGTATGCCCAAAATGAGCGCATTGAAGAGGCATTACTACTATTCCGTGAAATGCAGATGGCTGACTTTGAAGTTGACTCCTTCACATTATCATCTGTTCTTGGGGCTGTCTCTCTTTTAAATAGACTAGGCATTGGTACCCAATTGCATGCCCACATCATGAAAATGGGCTTAGAATCAGAAGTCTCTGTCGGTAGTTCACTCATTATGATGTATTCAAAATGTGGAAGCATTGATGATTGCCAAAAAGCATTCGGACAGATTAAGATACCTGATCTGATCAGTTGGACAGCAATGATTGTGAGCTATGCTCAACATGGAAAAGGTGCACAGGCATTAAGAGTCTATGAATTGATGAGGGAATCGGGAATCAAACCCGATTCAGTGACTTTTATTGGTGTTCTATCTGCTTGTAGCCATAATGGTTTGGTTGAAGAAGGCTATTTTCATCTAAATTCAATGGTCAAAGACTATGGAATTGAGCCTGGTTACCGACATTATGCGTGTGTGGTTGATCTTCTTGGTCGGGCTGGAAGATTGAAGGAGGCTGAAAGTTTTATTAACAACATGCCCATCAAACCTGATGCTTTGGTTTGGGGAACGCTGCTCGCTGCTTGCAAAATGCATGGGGATATTGAGCTTGGAAGGCTAGTAGCTGAAAAGGTTTTTGAATTGGAGCCGTGTGATGCCGGAGCTTATGTTTCCTTGTCAAACATCTGGGCCGATGTGGGTCAGTGGGAAGAAGTCCTGAAGATCAGATACGCGATGAAAGGAACTGGGGTGAATAAGGATCCAGGATGGAGTTCTGTATGATTGTGATCGTATGGTAGCACACAGATTACTTAGTATGGGCGAGACACACCATAACTTTTTCATTTTTCTGATTGTGAAATTCAAATAGTAGCAGACATGTTTGCTTAAGACATGACTGTTAATTAACAGATTATTAACTGTTAAACCTGAAAAGTTGTGATTTTTCAAAAGTACCCCTATGAAATCTATAAATAACAAGTTTGTCTAGCAAATTTTATGATCTCTCATTCTCTCCCCTATCTCTATTTTTATATTAGTTTTGCTCCTAAGAAATTTTGGAA